ATCCCTGTCAACCCTGTGTACTGAGGGGGTGGGAATGATCCTCGCTGTAAAGATTCATTCCCTCTTTTGAGCTACTACATCCATAAATATAGGTCAAGTTCATCAAATTGTAGCAAATTACTCTTTTTTTCCTCTTCTTTCTTCCTCAAGTCGAGTTCTGATCATCCAGCCATTGAAGCCAGGTCAGATGTGTGTTATTAAAATATTATCTTTTAATTTAAAAAGTAATATAGCCTCATTACAAAAAAAAAAAAAAATTGGAAAATAATCTGTGATACTAGCTTTCAAATACAGCCATTGCTATTATTATTGTGGTATTTTTCTTTTTCTTCCTCTGTCCGTATCATTTGTTAATTATGCATCCAAAGGGAAATAACCTCTCCTGTTCCTCGCTTCCCTTGCCTGAGACCAGGAGGTATCTAAGGGTTCTCTGAGTTTTGAAAATGTGTGTCTCCAACTTGAACCTATAAAGGTGCTGACACAAAAGTAAAACTGTTCAGATTTCTGGGGGATGTAAGGGTTGGTCTCCTTGGGATGGCTGAGTGAAGGCACCTAACTATAAGCAGACAGTATGCCTTTCACCACTGTCTCCCCAGTACCTGCCTGAGGCCTGGCACATTGTAGGTATTCAGCAAGTGCTTATTGGCAAAGGGAAGGAAAACAGTAATAGCAGAAGGTCACCAGTGAAATTGTGAAAATCATGAAAATCTATGGAAGAAGTTTTGGAAAAGACAGCTACTTGTATATGTTTAGTTTTTCCTCCCAAAGTTTTAAGAACAGTTTTAATGAGTTTAGTGAAAGTGGTAATGGGTCACTGTCTAGTTCTTCTGGTCTCAAGGTCATGGAGACTAATGTTTATGTGGTCCATTAGTCCACTGGGCTAATTGTTTCCGTGTGTCTTTGATTTTCATCACTCATGAGTTTTTAAGACCCCAGTCGCTACTCACCAAAGTAGGACATAGAATATTGTCTTTGTGCAATATATTATGCCAAGGACTATATTTTGCTTTGTGGACTTTGGTCTTGAACCCCCAGGCCCAGAGACTCATTCCCTTAACATGTTTTGTTATGTTTAAGAAAATTTCCTAACTGCCCCTGTATGCTCTACTATATTTATGGATAGAATTGCAGCAAAGGTAAATTTGTACAGATACCCTCTTTCAAACCTATATATATATTGGTGGGCGTATT